CATGGAAAGTGACTTGACATTTTTTTCTTCTTTAGAGAGAAGTTTTTGCTGTAAAGCACATGTGCTTTCTCTCTGGAGAGACTGAGAGATACAGAGATAGAAAGTGAGAAATCACCCTTCAGGGAGGATGGCCACACTGCAGTCCTTTCTCCTCTCGGCATTTTGGGCTTGCATGCACGTGTACCTGGTGTGAGTTTTAAGCTACTGCATCCAGGGCTTGAATTGCAGTTGACTACATGGGAGTCTAGTAATATAACCATTATGCCATCTGCTGGTACCGTGACTTTACTTTTTTTTAAAGGATATTTGCCCATGAAACTATTTGGGCCTGGCGCCTATTTGAGTGGAAGGTCTTTGCTTTGGTCTTGGATGTATTTATTGATTCTGCTGTTTTTCTAGTTATTTTTCCCATCCAACTTGTGTTTTTAACTTTCTTCAGTATAGTTTGCTTATTTTTTTCTTGTTTAATTAGAGAGATTTTACAGTTTCAATTTCATATTTGACTCAATGGTTGTAAGAAAGGTTTAATATTTTTAAGTTGTTACAGTTTCTTATGTTAATTATTTCTGTGTCTTTCTGGTATTGTTCCTTTTTTGTGGGGTTCAGCCTTTTCCTTGTGGCATGATAGACGGTCAGTTTTCACAAATGCTCTTTAATCATTAGGATTGAAACTATTTTTCTTTGGGGTGCAATTTGAGATTATTATTATTATTTTAAAGTTTTTATTTATTTCTTCTGAAACAGAGGCACACACACACACACACACACACATATCCCCAACAGAATATTTGTGTTACTATCTACCCACAGTCAGCTTGGATCGTAGGCATCCTTGTACACATATGTTTAGCATGCTCTGGGAGTTCGTGGAATGCGAACCCAAGACCATTACTGTGTTGGTCCATTTGTGTTACATTGCACCATTGCCTGGCCTGATACCTATTACGTTTACATTGTTGTTAGCTAACTTGGTCAGATTCTGTAATCAGTGCAAAATAAAATAAGTACACAGCTGGAGCTTGTGCTCATAAATTCTTCCTATTCCTTTTTTTGGAGAAGGCTAGAAGTGCGTTGATCACTTCTCCTTTATTTCAGTGAAAGGGTAATTTGAACGTAAAGACTGACATTTATATTAACATTTCTGTTGTGGAGTTTACACTTTAGCAAGACAAAAATGTAAAACGTGGACAACTACCCCACCTAATACTCTTCTACCCCACTTAATACTTCCTGGTATGAATTCCATTGCACCTGACATTTAAAACATAATAAAGCAGCATTGTTATCACTTTATTTTTGTTTCACTTTGAGGTTTGTCTTTGGGAGTTGCCATTTATTTTTTGATACAATCTTGAGAGTATTTAAAAAAAAAGAATTATTTATTTAATTTTATTTATTATTATTATTATTATTATTTAATTTGCTATAGGGCATGTGTGCTCACCAGAGAGAGACAGAGAGAGAGAGACGGAAAGTAAGAAAGCAAGCCACCAGGTCTGGGACTTGAAAGGTGGTTGGCCATGTGGGAATTCAGTGCCTTAACCACCAAGCCACCTGCTGGGTCCATCTGAGAATATTTTTAATGAAATGAACTTACAGGTTTAGTTCGCATTTTAGTCTGTGTTGTGTTTCACAGAATTCTAATTCTAAATTCTAATAGTGATTTTCTTGAAGTGAAAAACATGAAATAAATCCCTCTCCAGTAGTCACAGCTAAGACCTACGATATTTTTGGATTCCTGTATGTTTAGGAAAAGGGCATTAGTGTTTCCTAATTCCCTGTCCTCAATCTTTATTAATGTAATCCTATTCAGTTGGTTTTATTGTTACTTGCTACAGTTTTTGCATTATACTATATTATGTTTGGAGAATAATATGGCATATGCATTCAGTTTTAATATTTTATTTTTATTTTAAGTTTGCCATAGGGATTATTTGCTTGCCTGGAAGACAGAGAGAGAGAGAAGTGGGAAAAGTGAGAAATCCTCCTTTCCAGGGAGCATGGCCACACAGCAAGCATGCACATGTGTCAGGTATGTGCTTTAGGTTGTTGGGTCCAGGACTTGAACTGCATAATTGGCTTTGTGGGATCCAGTTGCCCCAACCACCATGCCAACAACTGGCCCTACATTCAGTTCTATAACCAGGTATACATCCATTATTTATCTTTGTCCTGATCTTGATGACTTGGGCATATATTAGTGGCATCCTTTTATATTAGTGGTCTTTGAATTTTGCATTCTGATTCATTGTAGTTACAGTATAACCTTAAGGTTTTATTTCCTTCCTTTTTTTTTTCCCTGAGCCTGTGCATATCTGAAACTTATGGTTTGTCTTTTTACTCTTGAAGGACAACTTATCTGGGTATAAAATTCTTTGGGAAAACTTTTCCTTCAGTTCTTCTGTAGATATTCATGTTTTATTGTCTTCTGGCATTTAGTACTGCCATAGAAAAAATTGAGGCTAATCTTTTTTTTTTTTTAATACAAGCTAATTGTTTTGTTTTTGTTTATTTTTTAGAATTTAATTAATTAATTTAATTAATATTACCAGAGAGGAACAGAGTGAGGTGGAGGAGAGTAAGAAAGCAAGGTCTGGGGCTCAAACCATGGTCGGCCATGTGGGAGGCCAGCGCCCTTAACCAGCACACCACCTGCCTGCCCTTAGTCTTTTTTTTTTTTAAATAAATATTTATTTGTTTATTTATTTAAAAAATTTGACCAGAGCGAGACAGAATGAGAGAGAGAGAAAGAAACAGAAAATGAGAAAGCAAGCCGGTAGGTCCAGGACTCAAACAGTGGTCAGCCATGTGGGGGTCTAGCGCCCTTAACCACCATGCCATCTGCTGATCCCAAGGGGGCTAATCTTAATTCATGCTATTTAAGTAAACCAAACAATACTTCTTGGATGCATCTATTATTTTGTAAAATTCTTACAGTTAAATTATTTTGCCAGGTTGTGTTCAAGTGTAGGTTTCTCCTCTCTGAATTTGCATAACCTGGTGTACCCTTGTAATTTCTATACTTGAAGTTTTTAAAATTGCAGAAGAGTTGTATTTAACTATACATCATTTATATTAGGTCTTTAAATCTGTCCCATTTGTTTTAAATCTGTCCCATTTGTTCTTTTTAAATAAATTTTATTGAATATATTTTGTATACCTTATTATTCACTGTTTTGAAGTATATGGTCCACTGGTTTAAATTTTAGTATAATCACAAAGCTGTACAGTCATAGTATAATCACAAAGCTGTACATCATTTCTATAATGTAATTTTAGAAATCTAATTTCTTTGTCCCACAAAGAAACCCATTAATACTCACTTTCATTCCCATCCCCATTCCCATACCCCCCCCTAATTTCAGGCAACCATGACTCTACTGTCTTCTCTATAGATTTGCCTATTCTGAACATTTCATGTAAATGGATTTGTTCAATATGACTGGCTTCTTTGTTCCTTTTGTTTTAAGTCCAGTTAGCAAGCCTAGATTATTCAGGTCTTGACTGTGTGTGTTGCTCCATCCTCCATAGTGCTCTTCTCGAACTGTTGCTGCCTTGCTGTGTTTTTCTCTTTCTCTCTGAGTGTCTCAGGTTTGTCCTCTACCTCTGATTCAGCGTTCTGTTGTTTATTTCTCTTTACTGCCTCTCAGTTAATCCTGTACTTGTTAGTTTTCTTGTAGTTCTTCCCAACTCCAGCCTGCCATCTTTTGATCTTGGTCCATTTTCTTCACATAATTGATTGATTCTGTTTCCTTTTTTTATTTTTTAATGTATTCTCCCTCCTTTAGTCCAACTATTTTTTGTTTTGTTTTTGGAAATTTCTTTTTGGCTGCTCAGCAAATTCTCTCTGAGGTTAGAGACTTTGCAGGATATCCTAAACACAGTTCGTGTGAACCTGAGGGACTGGGTGTCTTACAGGTGGACTGGCAGTTGTGACTTCTCTGCCCTGAGCAGCTGAAACACTTGGCTCTCAGTCTTTTCCTGTTTCTAACTTGACTTCTCTGATCTTGGGACATCATCTTCTTTCACCCACTACTGAGTTCTTTAATGTTTCCACAAGTGTATAACACGTACAACTGCTTTTCTCCTGGAGTCATCCTGCTTTCTCTTCTGCCTTTATTCCAGGGACCCCATGGCCTCATGTGGCTTTGCTATGAGGAGATTCCCTTCTCCCTGGCTGTGAGGGAGGTATTTGCCCTGAAGCTCCCTGGGCCTGGTGCTTGTCTGCCTGGCTGGCTGTCTTCTGCGACTTGTCTGGATTTGGGAAGTGTAGGCTGGTGGGGAGATGGAGCAGGTGGGCCATTTTGGAGCACATCCCAAGGGCCAGGGCGGACCCACTGTCCAGGTTCCTGGCAAGCCCTGGCCTGGAGTCAGGACAGGGAAGGACAGCCTGGCTATAGTGCAGCTTCTTCCCTGTTCCTCCTATTAGATTGTCAGTGTGTGAGCCTTTTTTGTGTCTTCATGGGGGTACTTCCACTGTGTAGTGGGGCCTCTGCAGCTGGGGTTTGCACAGCAGTGCCACATCGAACTGGACTCCAGCAGTCAGTCCTCTAGTATGACAGTTGCATGTTGGCTTTGCCTGCTGTCTCCAGAGATCTTAATTTTGAGATTTCTAAAATTCTTCAAACTTTGGAAAGGGTTGTCTTTGAACGTTTAGTGGGCAAAACGAAAAATTTCCAGGAGTAAAATGATTTTTCTTTTTTTACTGAACTGGAAACAGAAGAAGTGGACCTCAGGCTTTGAAAGTCGAGGTTTTCATTCCCCTTCTTTGTGTAAGTTTGAGAAATGTAACCCTAGTAGTTGCTTGGTTTCTGCAATAGAATACCCAGCCCGCCGTGTGGAAACCTGCTGAGATTGGTGTTCAGGAAACCGTAACAGAGACATGCAGTAACCGTCTGTAACCAGGTGGTGGCCGTTGTGTAATACACAGAGCATCTCTGGTGGTATGGTTATACAATTCTGGCCAGCCTGTGTGGGTTATAAAAGCCGAAATTCCTTCAGCACCTGAAAGCGTCTCATGCCGAGCACCAGGACAATCACAGGGTTGCACAGACGCCAGCACAGACGTGGGTGGTGGCACTGATGAGGACTCTTGTGTGGATAGGGTGAGGTTTCCCCGTGAAGGTAAGACTGTTTCTTAGTACACAGAATAAGCTCTGCCTTGGGGAGTGAGTTCCCAGGCTGCACAGATTGATGAGTTTTCTGTGTAGTCTGTGTGTGTGTGTGTGTGTGTGTGTGTGTGCACGTGCACATCTGGGTCTGGGTGTGTCTGTTTCTGTGTCTGTGTGTCTGAGTGTGTACATCACTATGATCATGTGTCTGACTTTCTGCAGATGAGGCAGCTTCAAAAAGTTTGTGGACAAATGGAATTAAAATATGAGTTTATTTTGGTCCAAAAAAATTCTGAAGTCCATAGTTTGTCATGATACATGTTTTCCCTGATGAGTTTATTTTGGTCCAAAAAAATTCTTAAGTCCACAGTTTGTCATGATACATGTTTTCCCTAAACCTTTCAAAGACCTCTTTCTGTGTGTGTTTCTGCATGCCCATGTGTCTGTGCATGTGCCGTGACTATGTAGGTGAGTACGGCTTCGGTGGCTCAAGTGCACCTAGCTAGGTTACTGGAGAATCTCCAAGAAGTTTCTCAGAGCTGTCAGACATTATTTATATATCAATAAGTGAACATCACCGTTTATGCCACTTGTAGAAGGCAGTGCTCTTTATTAAATGCGGGAGAAAGAGGAATGATTCTAACTGGATGAGAAAGAGTTAACGATCCTCACTGGATCTGTGGCAACCACAGTGTCAGATTTTGTGCTTTTCAGATGCTTATTTACTTAATTCTCTGAGTCAGGTCCCATCATAGGGACTGCCACAGCTCCATGTCTTCTTTTTTGTTTTCTTTTCTATAGAATTTCAGGGGTCTGCTGAGGAGGAGGTATGTGCATAAGCAATAAGGAATAGAGAAGGAACAGACTTAATGGAAGCCTGTAGTCTCCTTTATAACTGACAGCATATATCTGAAAAATCTTTTTAAAGTCTATGGAATATAAAAACATCAGGTTCAGACATCAGAAGAAAGCAAAATGGCTGTGGTATACCATTCTAAATGATTGTTTGTCTTTGTATTTAATGAGTAAATATTTTGTGAACAACTTATATGGAACATACTCCTTCACAGAGAAAAAGAAAAAATATATATAATATACTATCAGGCATGGGCTGTTTAGACTTTCTTTCATTTATCAAAGGTCAGGGAAAAACTTTTTTCTCTTTTCTGTGTTTTTAATTCTTTCTATAGGACATGTGCACTCGCCGGGGAGAAAATGAGAAATCACCTCCCAATGGGGATGACCATGCCACAGTCCCGTCTCCATTCTCTTCCTGGGATCTTGGGCACATATGCATATGCACTGGGTACATTTTTTTTTTGGAGAGGTTTTTTGCCATAAGGGCTTGTGTGCTTGCCAGACAGAGAGAGACAGAGAGACAGAAAGCAAGAAATCACCCCCCTGGGGGATGGCCACGCTGCAATCCCTTCTCCTCTATTCTCCTCTTGGGATCTTGGGCACGCACGCACACGCGCCTGGCGTGAGTTTTAAGCCACCAGGTCTGGGACTCGAACTGCGGTCTACTACATGGGAGTCCAGCAACATACCCATTACGCTAACTGCTGGTCCCCCGAGTACACTTTTTAAGCCACTGGGTCCAGCCACGTTGTCGGGCCTGTGGCATCCAGCTGCCTTGACCTCTATGCCATCTCCTGGCCCAAGCTTTACTCTTACTTCAGTCTCTAGGTACTTGGTATTAATCTGGGAAGAATGTCAGTGTCCTTGCCCTGGGTAATGGCAATACAGTTTAGGCAGACTCCCTGATCAGCTATCAGATAATCCATCAAAGGCCGGGTGGAATTTCAGAGCTCCCTTTTCCTTATCTTGGGAGAGTCTGAAGGAGGAGTCAGAACTCTTAGTAAACTGGACTGTGGGGTGGGGAAATAAAGGATATTGCAAAAGAGATTTATAAATAGAATGCCTTCCAGAGGGTGGGAAGAAAGCAGGCAGTTGAGAGGTTGAGAGAACTAAGCAAATGTGCCGTAGGCCAGCCGAAATCGAGCAGATATAATGAATGAATAGTTAGGAAGTAAGGAAAAGGGAGCAGAAAATCTGGCTTCGGTACTTGAACAAGAGATGGATGAGAACATTCCAGAGCAAAATGGTGTGATCTGGAATAATTCAGAGAGGGAGGGGGCTGTGAGGTCATTGAGGTTAAGGTAGGGAATGAAAGGTTATTTGACAGGCTGGCAGGTGGTGTGGTGGGTAAGGGCGCTGGACTCCCACATGGCTGACTGGTTCAAGTCCCAGACCTGGTGACTTGCTTTCTCACCTTTCCCCTTCCCTCCCCCCATCCCTCTCTGGTAGAATTAAAATAAAACAAACAAACAAAGTTAAATTAAAAAAAAAAACTCATTAAAAAAAAAAAAAAAAAAAGGAAAAGAGATTATTTGAAATACAGCTCCTGGTACTTGTGGCTCCTGGCAGGGCAGCAGTCATACTCATAGCCAGAGATGGCCGAGTGTCCTCCCCGAGTGTCATCCTGGGGCTTGTTCTTAAGCAGCAGAGCAGGTGTGAGCCTTTCACTGTTCTAGAGAAGAGGAGGAGTCCCAGCACTAAGGGATAGTGTTAGCAGAGGAGAGCCGGAGTTACCTTGGACCTGGGTTTGTCAAGCTGGAAGTCTCGCAACTTCTAGAGTGCTGTGTACTCATTCATGTTTTCCTTTGTGTAGTTTTTCAGGGGTTAGGTGAAAAGTAGGTACACAAGGGACCAGCAGTTAGAGTAATGGCTATGTCACTGGCCTCCCACGTAGTCAACTGTGGTTAGAGTCTCGGACCCAGCGCCGGAGTTACCTTGGACCTGGGTTTGTCAAGCTGGAAGTCTCGCAACTTCTAGAGTGCTGTGTACTCATTCATGTTTTCCTTTGTGTAGTTTTTCAGGGGTTAGGTGAAAAGTAGGTACACAAGGGACCAGCAGTTAGAGTAATGGCTATGTCACTGGCCTCCCACGTAGTCAACTGTGGTTAGAGTCTCGGACCCAGCGGCTTAAACACACGCCGGGCGCGTGTGCGTGCATGCCCAAGATCCCGAGAGGAGAATAGAGGAGAAGGGATTGTGGTGTGGCCACAGCCCTGGGGGGTGATTTCTCACTTTCTGTCTCTCTGTCTCTCTCTGTCTTTCTGGCGAGCACACACGCCCTATGGCCCCAAAAAAAAAAAAAAAAAGTAGATACACAAGCAGATGTAATGGACAGTTAGGAAATAAGGAGTGGTCATCAAATGGCAAGGGTCACTGGGGATCTAGAAGAAGAGAAAGTTTTCATTCTGATTCCGGATAGAATCTAGAGGCTTTCCTCAGCTTCCTACAAAATAACCTTCAGACATGGGCCTGGGCCTTTCTGTCTTAAAGTTTCATTGTGTTTGTTGGTCTGGAGGGGATGTGAGCAAGTTCATGGTCTCCCAGTAACCGCATGTCTGCCATTTTTGCCCTTGACTCTCAGCATGAGTCAGCCTCTTCATGCCTCAGTTTTCTCACCGACGCAATGGAGATAGTAACAGCCTCTCCCAGGACGTTTGTGTGGGCTTGTGAAATCATGTTCGTATCACGGACACAATAGTTCATTGTGCCTGTTTTCATCTTGTCTTTAAAAGTCCATTAACTTTCAGTGCCTCCTCTCATGACTGGTGATTAATGCATTTTAGATGGTGTTTAAATAAATAAATAAACCCACGTGTACTAAAAGCGGTGTATTAAGTCACGGAGTGAAAATAAGTGCAAAATGCGACAAACCCCATCTTGATTCTGTTTTGGTTCCTCAAATATTTGGTTCCCTTCTGCAGCTCTGCCTCTCCCTGGCTTGCGTGTCCAGCCCCACCAGATTTCTTTGACTGAATCTGGAGGGCAGAGGTCAGGTTTGGTTTCTGGATGTCGGACTACCTGGCCCATGGAACAGCGTTTACATTTTCCCCAAATACTTGAATGCCTTTTATGTAGTGCACGTTGAATCCCTGCCCCATCCCAGCCTGGTGCGGAAGCCGGTCCAAGAAGCAGTGGCCTGTGGAAATGCAGAAGAGGGACAGCGGACTCAGGGATTAGAAATGCTTCTTTGAAGAAGAGGCCTCTTGAGGTCAGATCAGGGGACTAGAGATCAGACAAGGTAGTGCCTGGGGCAAGGGGGGAATGACCAGAATGATGAGCCTTAAGAGGTCTTGGTATAGGACCAGCTCTGTGTCACAGTGGTACTGCACTGCTTGGGAGAAGCTAGATTCTACATAGTGACTGGTTCGAATCCCTGGCCTGTTTAGCCTGAAATAGGCTTGGCATCCATGCAAGTGCCCAGGGTCTGATGGGCCAAAGAACTGGAAGAAGAGGATTGCAGTGTGATCAGACCCTGTGGAGGGTATTCCTCTCTCTCTCTCTCTCTCTTTCTCTCTGTCTCTGTCTCTCACACAGAGACATTCACATGCACACAGGTCCTCTATCATGAATAAAGGTGGTGGTGGTAGGTCTTAGTGGGGAGTTCATTAGCAAAGTGGGGAATTTATTAGCAAAGTGGGGAGTAGGGCTCTGGCAAAGTGTTAAAATTAATTCTATATTGATGCTGTGATTTCTACGTACCTCCCCAATCATTGTGGTGGGGCTCGGGGATATAAAGTTTTGTTGTATATCATCATTGTATACTGCTAATCACTTTGGTAGATTATTTCTATGGGTATGTTCTTTTTTTTTTTCTTTTCCTTTTTTTTTTTTAAGAATTATTTGATTTTACTTATTCATTCATTCATTTTAATTTTGACCAGATAGTGACACAGAAAAAGAGAGAGGGAGAGAAAGTGAGAAAGCAAGCTACCAGGTCCCAGACTTGAACTGGGGTCAGTCATGTGGGAGGATTCAGCGCCCCAACCACCACACCACCTGCTGGCCCCTGGGTGTGTAAACTTAGATAAAAACCTGGTCTAAGTTGGGCTCTTGGAGTATGCCTTTTATGTCTTTAATTACATCAGTGATTTTTATCCCTTTTTTTGACTGACCCACAGACAAAGCATTTACCATTATCTTGTGAGATGTGCTCTGG